AACCACTAGCCTTCAGAGTAGAACTTTCCAAGAACGTGTATCTCCTGTCCAAGTATTAAAAGGCAACCTTTTTAAATTTCCTTAAAATTAGCTAAGTGCTGCCACCTAGTGACCATTCATATATCTATGTATTATTGAGACATCTCTCTGTTTTCCTATCTTCCCTCAAATCATAGGTAATTTGGTGGCTGTGGAAAGGAGAAGCTACTTTTGCCAGTGATTTCAGCAAATGGTCTGTCCCTTTTAGGCAGCAATCTAAGGACATTTCAGGGCAAGATCAATTTGAGTGTATTCTTTTCAACAACTATTTTTGCTGTGTACCTTTCTATTAACTGAACCAAACTGATCACATCTCCCTTTTTATTACTAGGCTGCACAATACAATTTCCCCTGAATCCATATTTTAATATTTTTAAAGTTAATTTATCAAGTGCACTCGGTACTTTTTCTCTTCTTCTTTCTTTCATATGCTACTAACAGGGACTTAAATTTAGAGAGAAGTATCTTAAAATGAAGCAATACTGTCCCCTGCTGTTCAGGTTTAACTTTGCAAGCTATTGTTACAACATAATGCTTTGAGCCTTTAAGCTGTTTTTTTCCTTCTCATCTGTAAGGGCACAGATAGGGATGCACTACGTGAAATTACTAATAATAATAGCTCTGCCTCAGAGATGCCAATTTTTATCTGTAAGTAGTAATTAGTAGATTAATTTTTATGAACTTTGCACTCTACATAAGAGAGACTTGTAAGACTAACACTTTTTGGTTTGGCTCATTGTAAGTTTTTTCTTTCAAAAATTGTACATTTCAAAGTGCTGTTTTTGTTCTATAAAGCTATTTCTGTCTTGGATACCTATAGGCCTGCTCAGTGCTTTTCTTGTAAAAAAAAAAAAAAAAGGTGCCGGAACTCACACACTTCATACAACCCACCTTGCCTACCCTACAAGGTTCCATCCAAAAAAGGTGCCAGAACTCCGTTCTGGGTGTTCTATGAGAAAAAAAGCCCTGGGTCTGCTTGTTCCAACTGGAATAAGCCTGATCTATTAAGTCATATTCTGGAGAAATCCTTCTTGGTGCCTTATTTTCAGGCGGCTGAGGTCAAAAGGAGCTGCTTCTTGGTAGCTGCCTGGTTCTCTGTAACAGTCTCTTTATTAAGATAAAGCTGACACCTCCCCCCCCCCCTGCATTTGAAAGATGTTGAAGACAGAACTACTTAGAGGTTTTGCAGGCAGAACTAACCACCAGTGAAGATGATGTGCTGAGTGTTGATGAACCAACTCTTTTGAGATGTTTAACCATTTAAATCTATTTAAAATCATTGTGAGGGATAAGATTAAATAATAAAAATGTCCAAAAGAGAACTTTACAAAGAGGCAGAGGAATTAAACCTAAATAAAGAAACCGAGTGGAATCGCCTTTTAGTAATAAGGAAGAAGAAAACCTTTTGAGAGATACTAAAAAATTATGAGTTTGGATTTTAACTCAGTGGCATATACAATTAAGCAACTTAAACAAGAGATGAAGGGATAATGTGGCAAGTGAACTATCAAGATATATGAAAGAGCTTGGAAACATTAATAAACAACTTATAGAAGTGCTTTATCAAATACCAGAGATTGCACAGACTTCTAGCAAAACATATGCCAATGGCATGAAAAATGAGCTTGATATTGTAAAAGTTCAAAAAGATATTACAGACATTAAAAAAGATTTAGCAGATGTCTAGGACCAGAAGAGAAGAAGTGAGAGTTAAAGGCATCAGAGAGAATGTAGAAAAGACTTATTTAATTGGATATCTTATCTCCAAGATTAATAACTTCTTGCCAGATATATAGCTTTCAGGCAAAGATGTAGAATTCTAGGCTCATCTGAATATAAAAGCCAAGAAATGCAATCACAAGATTTGTAAATACTTTGGATGAAAAACAAAGTTGTTCAAAGAGGTTGTGAGCTACAGTAGATAAAACAAACTAGGAAAGATATTGTTTTTCAAGGTATTAATTAATTCATTTATAAGACTTATAAGAATACCCATCTTAAGAGAAACATTTCTGAGCAGCTCACAGCAGGGATGCAAAACCAAAACTCCATAAAAACAATTAAAAATAACTGGCACTACAATGAAGCCAAAACCACCACTTCCGGGCTCTGTGCAAACTCTATTAAAATATCTGAAGGGAAGAACTAGCTGTTTAGGCCTTCTGAAAGATTTAGGTGGTAGGGATCTACTGGATCTCAAGAGGAAGGGTATTCCGCAGGGCAGGGGGATGTTATGGAAAAGGCACATCTCCCGGGTATCAAGAGATGACAACCTTTAAGACAAGGGACCTTGAACATGCCTATTGTACCTGATTTGGTGGGATGGCAGACACCCATAGGGAGAGATGGTCCTGAGATTATCAAGTCTTGTTCCAATAGGACTTAAAAGGTAATAATCAGCACCTTGAATTACATTGTGAAATAAATGTGGGAGGCAGTGCAGTTTGCAAAACAGAGGGTATAACCTGGGTGGAGGGTAGAGTATAGAGTGCACAGAAGTAGTCCAGTGGGGAATGACCAAAAAAATCAAGGCATATATGACCATGAGCAAAGCCTCCCAACATTTGATGCACAAGTCCCCCTAGCCACTTGTTCCTCAAATAGGAGCTGTGAGGACACCCACATTGTGCAACAGTTCTGTTGGAAACATGGTACCCCATCTAGAGTCAAAGATGACACTTCACCATACTGAGCATTCAAAATGCAAAGCCATTCCAACTTGCCATACTTGAGACAGATTTAGTTCTTCCTTATCCAGATCCACATAGCCTTTGTGCACTGAATCAGATCTACAGCAGCATCACCTGACTGGAATCGGTGAGCAAGAATTCATTCACTCTTGCCCAAATTTTACATATCTTTATGAATGAATTGGAAAAGGTAAAATAAAAAAATAATTGAATTAGAAAGGAGTAAAGTAGGCAAGTAAAGAAGTTGTCTGGTAATTGCTAATATGTGTCAGATCCTTGAATTGTTTCATTACATTGCAAAGCATCAATACCCCAATGGCCAGCTCATAGAGGAAGTTCTTATCTCACCATAAGTAACATGTAAGAAGGAGATTTAAAAGAAGGCTCAAGATTCAGATGGATCTCAACAGACTTCAACACAGGTCCTATCTAACAAAATGAAATTCAACGGAGAGAAAAGTAAGGATTTACACTTAGGCAAGAAAAATCAAATGTACAGGTACAGATTAGGTGAAACTTGGCTCAACAGCAGTAACTGTGAGAGGGAACTTGGAGTCATAATGTACAATCACTTAAATATGAGCTAGCAGTATGTGGCAACAGCCAAAAATCCAACACAATCCTACGTTGCATTAAGAGAAAGATAAAAACAAGATCACATTAGTATCACTTTATACAACCTTAGTAAGATCACACTCAGAATACTGTATCCAGTTTTGGTCACTGTATTATAAAAAAGATGTAGAGACTCTGGAAAGAGTGCATAAAAGAGCAGCCTAGATGATTGGAGGGCTGTAGGTTAAAACATATAAAGAATGGACTTGGGTTTGTCTAGTCTAGTGAAAAGGATAGGGGTGACATGACAGCAGTGTTCCAAAATCTGAGGGGCTGCCACAAAGAAGAGGGGTTCAACCTATTTTCCTAAGTACCTGAAGTCAATACAAGAAACAATGGATGGAAACTAATCAAGGAGAGAAGCAACCTGGAATTAAGGAAACACTTCCTAACAGGGAGAACAATTAACCAATGGAATGGCTTGCCTTCTGAAGTTGTGGGTGCTCCATCACTGGAGGTTTTAGAGAAGATACTAGACAGCCGTTTGACTAGAATGGTACAGGGTGTCCTGCTTGAACAGGGGTTGGGCTGGAAGACCCCCAAAATCCCTTCGAACTCTTATTCAGTTCCCTATTGCCAGCCTTACAAGATAGGTCAAGCCAAGAAACAAATGCTATTTATGGCTAAAACTACTTTTATTAATATTAGCTGTAATAATATGTGCTTCTCCTGCTCTCTTTTATTTATGTGAATTCAGGAGGTATTTGAGACTTTTTGATGTTTATCCTCTTATCTTCCTTCTCCCCGTCAAAGTCATCCTCTGTATTCTCAACAGTCATACAGAGCATTACCTGGTGAAATCATTACCACAAGACATGATTATGGACATTGATGTGGATGGGGAATTCTTGGAGGACAGGTATAGCAAAGGCCCTTGCTCCTGGAGACTCACTGTTACTTTACAGTTAGGTGCCAAATGACTTTTCTTGCAATTACGAGAGGGTAACAATAGCAGGAGCCTCATCTTTGGCCTGCAAGTATGTGGGAGGCATCTGGTTGACTTTTGTGAGTGTCAGTCCTTCTGGGTAATTGAGACAAGAAACCAATACCATGAGTAGTAATACTACCTTTATTGTAAGGTTACAGTAATAGAATCATGCTAATGTTAAAGCATCTCCCCCCCCCCCGCCTTACTTTCCAGGGAACTAGGGAGGGTCCCTCTAAGGTGCTTTCCATACTCCATTCCTTCTGTGGACTGAAATGTATCTTATCTAACTCTTACCCTGGCTTTTCCTCCTCCTGTCTCCAAAGGGTATTCCCACAGATCATTGCAGTGATCAACAAAATATTGGAAGAAGATAAGCCCAAGCTTGTCCTGCATGGCTGTTCCTATATGCAGATAGAATAACTATGGCAATGGAAGCATATATTTATCTGTAAAACACCCAGAGGCATGCAAGCATGATGAGTAGAATAGAAATTTGATAAATAAATAAGAAATAAATTTCAGAGTCACAGTTGTCAACCAAACATCCTTGCCACCCTGTGCTTTTGAATTATTGCATTTCATGCGTTATGCTCCTTCACATATTGCCGGGGGGGGGGAATTCAAGCTTGTCAGTGTGGATCTTTAAAAAGATACTGTCTTGTTTATGCATCTCTTAAATTTGAGCAATTTATCCCATCATCCACCATTGTCCCAAGAGATCGCTGTCTTAAACTTTCCCAGTAGATGATGTCTCTGTTAGTTACTGTTAATTGAACTCTAAATCTGAAAGCTTCTTGGGGTATAAGGAAATAAAACTATTGCTCTCTCTTTTGCTAATAGCTGGGGCCAACACTTGCAAAACTTCAAAGGGGTTGTGAATCAAAGCTTTTCATCAGTGGGGCAGCTCATCTGAGTTCTAATCTTTCATGCTTTCTAATGCAATAACATCAAAGGAACCCAAAGAGAATTGCAGCAGCTCCAAAGCAATGTTGCACACACTCACAATAAAACAGTTAACAACCATTCCACAATTAAAAGAAGAAAACAATTATTTACACAAGGTAGAGTTTAATAATCATCATTATTGCCCCCTCCCCCTTACAAAAAAAATCAGATTGTACAGTTCAAAAGTAATATCCAGTGCTCAAGGGACCGCTGGAAGAAAATGAAAAAGAATTAGGAAGTGTCTTATGTATAAGTCTTCAAAGCCAAAGCAACCAATTTATGTTTCATTCTTACTTACTGAAATGTCGTTTGCATATTTTATTATTCTTATCATCTTGCTTGTTACAACCCATCCAAGGAATTTTCAAAGAACATTAAGTCCTACAAATAAATAAACTGTGAATGATGAGCAAGATACAAAATGGCAACAATTAATATCAAAAAGCTGACTTGTACGGTTTCATTACACCAAAGACTTTTATTGTGCTTATTATTATTTTTATTAGACAGCTGTTCTTCTGTGTGGTGCCTCTGGGCAAAGACAATTTTGTGCTAGAAGAAATTGGAGAGCCTTAAGCATCAGGAGGATATTATTTCTACTCTTGTATGAATAAAGTAAGGGGAATAACAACTAATTGGTAGTTTTCTTTAAAAAGTTATATCACAGCTCTTGGATTGCAGAAAGGAAAGCAGAGGTAGAATATCACTTGTCCAGACAGCCTTCCTTGCTGATAAGATTTTCCGGCAGGGTTTTAAAAATGCCATGTAATACATTTCTATCAATATTACACATCTGATATAATGGGGCTACAGCTCCCATAATTAATCTGCTTGCCCACCCATTGATTTTGATAGGACACAGAACAATAATTCCAAAATAGGAACAAAGGGATATACATTCCATTATAAGTCTATTGTATTTAGCAGAACATTCATAAGCCTTGGTAGTAGCACACATGATTATCTAGATATACCTTTAAAAGCTATTAAGTGATATGTAGCTTATTTGGAGAATGCATCAAAATATTATAAAGTAATCAAAAGAGAAGACTTGACTTTGTGAAAGAAGGGTAAACATACTTACTAGGAGAAAACAAGCACCGATCATCACAGCTTTGATTTTTACATCAAGGTCCACAGGAATCTGAATGCCAAAGTTGGCTGTATTAGTAAATATGTTATTGACAAATCCAGACCAATACTTAGAAATTTTGCCAATAGTTGACATATCATTTACAGTTTTTACCTGCCGGGAAGCAAAACAGCATAGAAATTATTTGGAAAGCTTCACCTGTGTATTCCTAAAATATTTTATAACATAATTTCTCTAACTGTGATGAGTTCTTCTAACACATTGTTGATTAACAAAGTAATAAAGTGATATTTACTGAGGATTTTCTCTCCATTTGGCCAAGGATATTCTTAGCATGCTAAGTGTTAGCATAAGTGAAGCTGAAGGTCAATAAAGTAGAATTCAGAGCAGATGAGGAGTGTTGTCCTTGTGGAACTAAGAGTTTTCCCTATGGTTTTGTGATTTGATATTAGCAGCAGATTATGGTACATCAGATGGGAGGTCAACTATTTAAAATAAATAAATAAATGTTGGAATGGTCAATCTGTGTTTCCAGGCTGGATATTATTTCCAGCCTGGGAACACAGATTGACCATCCCAACATATTGTCTGTGTTCTCTGGAACCTTTTGGGTTGTGTTACCAAAGTTTATTTCCTTGTCATTTGGAAACAGTCCAGAAATAATGTATATGCCTCAAACAGAAGTAACTTAATTTAAAATGAAAAACAAAACAAATATCTCAAATCCCAGGAAAACCAAAAAAATCACGGTCCTGCCTACACATACATTATATAGGGTTGCCTCTGATCCTGCAGACCTTAAGACTTGGTTCTTTCTCCAAGTCTTTAGGTCCAGGTGACTGGAGTCTTGAATGTTGTATTGCAGTACATTTCAGTCTAGCTGACATTTTTTGTCTTTAGCTGGTGTTTAAAGCATTATGTGCCTTTTGTATTTGTAACTGACTTTTCTAGTTATCCAGAGTCACTTTTGTTATTTGTGTTATCAATAAATAAATGCATAGCATGGACCCACTTTTCCTCATCATCCTAGTCCCTGTAGTTCTTGCTGCTTAAAACCATTAAGTGTGAACTCAGCTATCACCCCTCTTTTAAGTGATGGACAAGTGAGGGCAAGAATATTTCAAGTGATGGATACCTGGTGTGCCTGAGAATGCCATTTTCTGAGAAAAGCCTTTTTCAACTATGGCACTTCTGCAAATAATATTCAAAGAATCTCTTTCTATCCCATTAGCAACATTGATATGATATATAGCAATTGCATTAAGAAAACCACCGATGGACCAAATTTTTCTGAATTTAGAATTATTTAAAACATTTATACCAATGGCCGGCTTGTAAAAGTTAGTTGCAATCATTGATTTTACATTCACTGAATAAGTACTTTCACTCTTCTATTCTGTATATTGGCAGTGTTAGTGTAGGTCCCCCATACTCTAATATTATATTAGTGTGTGAGTCTCTCTCTCTCTCTCTCTCTCTCTCTCTCTCTCTCTCTCTCTCTCTCTCTCTCTCTCTGTGTGTGTGTGTGTGTGTGTGTGAGAGAGAGAGAGAGAGAGAGAGAGAGAGAGACTAGCTTCACTTTATTCACTTTTTCAAAAGTAGTATATCATATCTCTCAACTGCTCTGTAAATAATGAAACTATTGTTGATAATATATTGGTATAAATCACATTCTGTGGAGAATGGATATTGCCTTTACAGGCTTTCATACATATGCCTATCTTCTAGGAGCTAGGAGAGCTAGAAGAAGACAAGGAATATAAGAGTGACTTGCATAGAATTATTAATTGAAATGTATTTATAGACTGCAAATCAGGATTTTTCTGAAACCAACATCCTCTAGACGAGGTAGATACTGCAACTCCTTCAATTTCCTGTCAGTTTGGCCATACATGAACATTCCAGATTACAAAAGGCTAATCCATTTCACTCCCTCAAACTTCTGCCTGATATTTCTAATGCAAATTCTTATTACTAAAAACTTAAGTAATGTTGCCAAAAGACCTCAAAATCAACATCTCCAAAGCAACCGCATGTGATGTAAGGACCTGTGATCTTCAACACATCTTCATTATTCCCATTCCTGATTGTAAATATTGGTAGCAAGGGGTCCCATTTCTGCACAATGTAGCCAATTGTGGTTCCAGGAGGTGATTGAACTTCTAACTAGTAGGCAATCAAAAATACGATTAACAGCATATGGATACACCTGATGCATACATTCATTTTTCATTTGTTTTGTTTTTTAAATGGTACAGGTATAAAATGGGCATTCCCACCAAGCTTTGCATTCAGCCCTTAAGTGCTTCTAAAATTTGGGGCTGAATAATTATGTTTGGCTGCTTATTAAGCTTATTAACTTAACAATTAGCAAATCTCCTGAGGTTTTACAATGAAAACATAAAACTATAGTTAGAACTGAAGAAATTAATATCACAATTAAAATACAATAATGTATGACTGAAGATGAAATTCAATAAACATACATATTGTACTAATTAAGAACTTTGCTAATTGATGTAATTTAGGTTAATTACATTATTTTTCCTAGTTCCAACCACCTTTGTTCTATCTCTTCTCAGTTTCTGGAAGAAGAAACTCCAGGAACAAGTGGGGACCTTTGCCATAAAAATTCTCTTATTTTAAGGTATAATCTATTGATAATTAATCAAAGAATACGTGTTCATTCCATTAATATGAAATATCTGGAATTTTCTTATTACATTACAAGCTTATTAGTCAATGTATATTCACTCACACATCTACATATATAGTTATATTTTCAGCTGCTCTCCTTATATCATAAGTTCTTTCAAGACAGGGATGCTGGGCAAGGGAATATGATTTTATTCTATAAAGTTGATGCTATATAAATGCTATTATTATTGCTGATTGTAATTATCATCACATCACTCCTTAGTGGGATAGACTCACATGTGGACTGCTGGGCACAAAAATTATGGAAGAAATAAAACTGGGAAAGAATATCTCTAGAGATAGGAAGGCTTGCAAGACATTTATGAGTTTTGTTTTGTTTTTTATCCCAGCCCTCTAAAAATCTTACTGGGTTGAACTGAATTGTTTTGAATTGAGTTTTCAATAGAGTGTACTTCCAAATTCAAAACCACTTCCTCATCAAAGTATGTTATAAATTCAAATTAATTCAGTTACTCTATAGTTAAACTATTCTTAAACACTACAAACCTGTTGAAGATAGCATGGAAACCAGCAGCTACTACATCTTAATGGTCTGTTCACAGTGATCACCTCTTGACCACTATTGTCTGTGATTCTTATGGTGAAAGACCGTAATGGTGCACAGAAATTCCGATCAAAGAAACCATTTTCTTCCACAGCAAAATAAACTCTTTGCCCCATGTGATTTTTTATCTCATATTTACTGCAGGTTTCAGTTCCGAGTATAACTGTAGTCAAAGGGATAGACATTTTGAACAATGCTATATTTACATTTAGAGCTGAACCAAATCTAAAATGTCTCAACTACCAAATAGTCTACATATAATGAGGTTATACTATTAGCTCTGGATGCATTCCGTTGGCACAAATACCATTCCAGTTGTGTGCCATAGTTGATGTTCCTTATATAACAGACTGCAGCACAAGGATTATATTAACATCAGATGGAACTCTGTAGTCTAATATGTTATATCACTAAATATCACATGGGGTATAACTCCTTGAGATTTACATGAACTGTTTCATTCAAGGAATGTACCAGCATATTACATTTTTTCAAGATGACTTGGTCTTAGTGAGAGAAAAGTATATAGCTAGATCTGTAAGAAAACAATGTGACAAAACCAACCACTTGCTTAAAACTTAACAAATGCAAAAGTTATATAAACTAGAAACAGACAAATTTGGCTATCTTCCATTTGTTGCAAGAATTCAGATTTGAAATACCTTGAAGAAGTTCGACTTGCTGGTGAATAATGATCTGATCCAACTGTTCAAAATTGAAGAGATAGCTTGAGAACAGTGAAAATCTGAGAACGGTTAAAGAAATTCATGCTTATCAACTATAATAATAATAATAATAATAATAATAATAAGAAGAAGAAGAAGAAGAAGAAGAAGAAGAAGTTGGAAGGGACCTTGGAGGTCATCTAGTCCAACCCCTGCTCAGGCAGGAAACCCTATACCATTTCAGACAAGTGCCTCTTCTTAGAAACTTCCAGTGTTGGAGCATTCACCATTTCTGGAGACAGGTTGTTCCACTGGTTAATTGTTCTAATTGTCAGGAAGTTTCTCCTTAGTTCTAGGTTGCTTCTCTCTTTGGTTAGTTTCCATTCGTTGCTTCTTGTCCTGCCTTTAGGTGCTTTGGAAAATAGCTTGACTTCCTCCTCTTTGTGGCAGCCCCTGAGATATTGGAACACTGCTATGATGTCCCCCCTCATCCTTCTCTTCATTAAACTAGACATACCCAATTCCATCAGCCTTCATTAATAAATCAAATGTACAGAATAATAGAAATTCAATAATGTGGACTACTTGATATAAAAGTAAGCCAAATCTGCATAGGGAGAATTTATTTAAAAAATATGTTGAAAATATTTAAAGCATTGTTTATGTAAGAATTTGGCTCATATAAGATGTGAAGAAAACCCAGGAATGGAACACCTAAAATTAAATAGGGTGAAAAACTATAATGTCCTTCTATTGCCGCATTACTACTAGCTGGTGGTAGTGAGCATGACTCTTGAGTCCCTAGCTATTCTGATGAAGGCTCTAATAAAGATCATCTGGATGAAAAAAATAACAGAAGAGCTAGGTCTGTTTATTATACTTCTGATAATTCCCAGTGGAAACAATATTACACCAAGAAAACGTTCTTGGAGAAAAACTAAGAATATGCTGCACTGATGATTTACACATTAATTTTCTTTCATTTAAATTGGAAATCTAGAAAAATATTGCATCGCACAATAATTTAAGTTACTGAAATGATTTGTGGACCTCTAAAATAGGTGATCATTCATAAGTAACACATTTTTTACAGGGATGTGATGTTTAGTGGGAGAAGGGAGAAACTTATTATTCAGACCCAGAAACTTAATCAGACAGAAGAGAGACACCTCTCACAACACTGCCAGTGTCACTTTTGACATCGAACAAGTTTATTCCCTTCTTTCAAGATATGGAAAAATCCAAGTCCAACCCTCATTATTTAATGATAGAGAGTTTTGGAATCTGCTATGCTGTTATTACTGAACAGGATTTCTAGCAACACTTTTCATGGAGTATTTGAAAGTGTTTGATCAAATTTGATAGCGCTAGGCACAGAGCCTTAGATCAAACTGCAGTGATGGTGTGACAGACATTCTAAGGTTTCATAATTTGAATCTGATTTCACCAGTTAGGTCCAGCAGTAAATCAAAAGTTGTGCTTTGTAGAAAACTTCAAAACCAGCTTCTTTCATTCTATAATCTGAGCCTGGGGCAGAATATTAGATGGGTTAGACCAATTTTTTTGCAGAAGGTATATCATAACAAAATCATAAAGAAAGTTCCTTAAATCTTTGCTCCTCTATTATGAACTTTGCAATAAGAAAGAACATAGAAATAGTTATGTTGCTTCATCAGAAAAAAAGATCTCCAAAATCAACAACTGGTATTGGCAAACTTCAGTCTTGCAAGATTCCCTTCACTATTTACAAGAACATTTGCCCAATCAGTGAACTAATATTGGACCCTTTCTTTTGACAATTGTTACATCACAGATTCCTTGACATTTTGATGTATTTTCTTCTTGACCTGTTGTTTATACTCATTGGGTGTGTTGTTTTAGTTTTCTTTAATCATCTTAATAAATTAGCTACCAAAAATTGCTTGATTTGTTTGACAACATTGACATTGTTCCTACTTTTTTTTCCAGACTAGAAAACTATCACTTGAATTATAATCTCAATGGCTAGATATTTTTTTCTCTTGATCTATTGGCTTTTTAATTACACTATGGCTTCTTCAAAAATCCACAACTGACTGGATTCACAGATCATGATATGTCATAAAGCAATGTTTACAAATTCACATTGGTTGACTTTATTCAATTTGTTAAACTAGAAGCAAATAAATCATAGTGGTATAGTGATTAAGGCACCAGGCTAGAAACTGCGGGGTGGGGGGGACTGTGACTTCTAATTCTATTTTAGGCATAAAAGCTGACTAGGTAACTTTCACTCAGTCTGAGACCTAGGAAGAAGGCAGTGGCAAACCACTTCAGAAAAACCTTGCAGGAAAACAGCAGGGGAGTCAATCATGATGTGAAGATGCACACACACAGAGATACACACATGCACAAAATTAAGTAGCAAGTTAACTAGCCTTCATTCTTATTGTCACATTTTATTTCTTTATAAGCAGAAACTTTGTTTCCAAAGTTTTAATAATTCAGTTTTAATAATTGAATCTTCCGGGACTGCAGAATTACAGGCAGATTCCCAATATTTATTAAATGTTGCTATATTCAGCGAGCATTTGCCTCGCTTGAAGAAGACCCGAGGAAAGGGAAAATACTTTGGAGAACATAAAACATCTCTGCAATTTGAAAAATACAGAAAACAATAAAAGGACCCTTGAATCTAACTTGTTCCCTAAGAACTACAGAAATATCCATGCAATTTTCTTGGCAGCAATGGGAAAATTGTTTGCTATTGCCTTCTTCCATGAAGTTTTATTGACTTTCCAGTCTAGAGTACAGCTTTGGGGATTTCTAGTAGTTTCCCATCCAACCTTTGCCAGATGCTGCCATGAAAAATTTTCTGAAAAATATTATTCCTATTCTACTCTTTTTCCTCATTACTGAACTTTTGCAGCAAAGTCAAAAGCAGCAGTGGAATATAGGGGCTTATTTGCAGATCATATTTTATAGGCCATCTGCAAAATTCATGAAAGAAACAGGCACTACCAGACATTCATTCTAGTCCACTAGTGAAATGCTTATTGGACATATTGTTTAAATCAATGGCTTTCAAACCTGGCAACATTAAGTGTTGTAGACTTCAACTTCCAGAATTCCCCAGCCAATATGTTTTCCAATCTCTTGGCTCATGTATATAACCCCTCGTCTATCATTTCTACTGACATGTAAAATAACTTTTCTTTGCAATTTAACCATTTCTGATCTCTCTCAATTTTTCCTCGCATCCCCATTTATTAGCATGCAGCCATCCTGCTACGATTCATGGAGGTATTGAAAAGCAGGCTTGTTGCCATGGTAACCATGCAGCTTTTAAATCCATTCATTTATATTGCAAAAATAAAAACATAAGACATTTGCACTAATGTGAACATCAGCATAGATCAGGGGAAGAAAAGACTAAATCAGAAACTTTTTTGATTGGATTTTAACCTAATGATTGTAAGGGTTTTGGAAATGGAAATGCCAGTAAGCTGGAAGAGCTATGATGATTACACTGTAAAAGTTTCACCTGGACAGGTTATCAATTCTTAATCCTTCAGTCATTAAATAATAGAAAGACAGACACCATAGTTGATCTACACAATCTTTTGGGAAGTTTACTGGCAGATATTGATTGGACTCATTCGTAAACCACTATTTACAAGATTCAGTTACCTCACCTATTTTCATTAAATTGAGCCAAATAGAAAAACATTTTTTAAAAAACCCTTGGCAGTGCATTCATAAAGGTTAGAGTTAGCAGTTTTCAAGATGAAGAGCAAGAAACGTTTTCTGTATTAGGACCACCCTTTCTACGCTGCAGACAGATACAAAACTATAAACACACAACCAAATGAATAAATAGAAATAAACCCTCCCTTATATTTAAAGTATATATTTCAGCAACAATATGTTTCTTCTAATTATTGCTGTAGACCAGCGGTCGCCAACCTTTCTGGCTCCACAGACAGGTGGTGGCTATAGTAGTGGAAGAGGCAGGAATTGTTTCATGTGTGCAATCTAATGCCCTGCATGTGAAAATGGAACTTTGTGCACTTGCATGACACGGTTCCCAATAGGCAGTGGATTGGTACTGGTCTGTGGATTGGGGGGAACACCTGTTGGGAACACCTGTTGTAGACAACATAGCAATTTTTGTATATACAAATCAGAGGAATAAGTATAGCAGCAAATCTGGACATTAATTTTAGCATTGTACTATAGGCAGAAAAATTCATAAGGCATAACAAATATTTTTGTTAAGATGAAATAATTTTTTAAACAGGAGCTCATAATGCATCTAATATAACTTTATAGTTATTATTTGGAATGGGAACAGGACCTGTCTTAAGTATTCCAAACCAGGTGGAAAACCAGATGGAAGCTGGGTTTGTTTCCAGATTATGGTTGTTTCTGAAGGCTTTGATTGCTCAGACATCTGCAGAGAACCTGGAAGAAGATCTTGCGTGGTTGTATTAACTGGGCCTAGAGCATTTGCATGAAACAGAATGTTTATGTTAGGAATGAAATAGATTGCCATTTTAAGAATTATATATATACCATTGAATGTAAAAACCACATAGCCTGATCGTATATAGTTGTTCTATGAGGGTCTTGAGCCAAGGGACTAAGAGTTGGAGCCACAAAAGTGTGCAGAAAAATAGGAATTTTCAACATTTGTTTCCTCAGAGTTAATCCACACAATATTGATATAAATATTTATTATTAAGATAAGCCTACCTACAAATGTAAATTCTAAGAAATACAATTCCTATACTGTTCTGACAGGTTTATTTATTCATTCACATTTCATATTTCTTAACCACCCATCTCCCTCACGGGCTTATTGAAGGATGGCATGAACATATTTTATATAAATTCTGTAGAAAGAGAATTTGTAAGATTAATAAATAGGACTGCCTAGGCTCTAGCATGTAACACAATGAACTCTCAAAGTTTTTTTTTTTTTCCCCTAGCACTTTCCTGTCTGGCCCTTTTTTTGTAGCTGCAGGAACAAAAGAAGGCAATGTAAGACATCCTGAACTTCAAGTTCTTAGCAGGATGCACATTCCCTCTTACATTCCAAAGCAATTCATATATGTTATTTTTCATTCTCACTATATTTCAATGGTCTGTTTACAGAACACATCACAGCCATGAAACTAATCAGTTATTAACTATTTACATCAGTGGTTCTCAACCTGTGGGTCGGGACCCCATTTGGGGTCGAATGACCATTTCACGGGGGTCGCCAAACCACGTTGTCCGCCATTTTTTTCCCTTTTCCCTAGCTGACCTACTCCCTCTTATTGGTGGCCACACCCACTTGGGGGTCACCACAACATGGGGAACTGTATTATGGGGTCACGGCATTAGAAAGATTGAGAACCACTGATTTACATCACTGTCAACATATCATGACATTATTGGCTCTCATCTGTTACATCAACATGATCAGTAATAAAACATGAAGGGACCTGTTGTCCACTCTCTAAAGGACCACATATCGAACAGACATATAGAAATCTGTACCTTATACTAGTCAGCATCCTACATACTGACTAAAAGTATCTAAAGCAGCAAAGTCTCCAAGTTTTTGTTTCTTCCTTCTGATCTCTTATCTACATGATTATATACTGAGGACTCATATTTTACCTTCTTTTTCCAGCTCATATTCTGGTTACCATTCAAACTTTTCCTGAATTAAAAATAAAAAGAGGTCAGGCACCTCATTTGAAGAAACCTACATGATGCTTTTTTTCATTCTGGACTGAAAAGTTAAATCCATCTTTCTTGCAGTTATAGACCATGATGAATTTACAGTCCTTTATTTTAATGTGTGCATTGGTCCTTCATCCTATAATTATATTGGGGTCTTAATTATTATTGCAGCCACAGCTTTCCTTCAAGGCTTAAGACCATAGGAAGGAAAAATAATCCCTTTGAATTTCTCTTTAAATATGCATAACTGGATTGTAAATATTTCATTGGTTCTTCTGCATCATGTTACCTCACCAGGTTGTGCTGTTGCCAAAACCTGTGTTACATGAACTAGTGTGAGTTTTTATTGGTTAAAAGTTCAAACAAAGTGGAGTCTTTCCTTTCAGTTAGACTTAAATTAACTCCAGAAAATCAATAATCCGGTATACTGGAAATATTATTGGAAAAATGAGGACATTTTGAATCATGATTTGTGTTGTTTTCTCAATCTGCAGATCTTATTTCTCTTTCTTTCTAGTTACTTAAAATATATTAAACTGCAAATAGTAATTTAATCAAAATTTAAAAAATTGATATACAATTCATATTCCTTTGGTATGTGATAGCTGCTTGGAGTGTAATGATTTTGGTAACACAGTTGAAATATTATATAGAGCAATTTCTGTTTTAACACATAAACTGGAATATTCACTCTGCAGAATGTTTTATAATAGCTACTTGGATTTTTCTTTTCTTCACAGGGTTGACCATATTCTTTCCATTTCACAAATAGTACCTTTCTGAGAAAACTAGAAAGTGCCAAGAGGAACGTATTTTGATTTCTTGGAATAAGCAACAAAAATCATGCAGCTTGAAGACTGCATTAATGAAGCATTTCATCTATGATTCTTCCATGATGGGAAGAGAGTAGAGTGAACTTGTTAGTATTTCTAGAGAATTCCTCTACCAAGATTTCACACATGCTATTTAAAGAGACAAGCTGCAAGGTGTAGGAGAGAAATTTGACTTCATTTTTAAAGTGTAACATTCTTTTTTTAAAAAAAGCGGGGGGGGGGGGGGAGAGGAGATTTGAAAGGCTTTTCAGCCAGACTGCAATTTTCACCTTTAATGAGAAGTTAGCTGTCTCAGAGTAAAGGGAAGACATGGCATGAACTACCCTTCAGTTTGATTGCACTCAATTGTCCTTCAGAAGCTTGTTAGCAGGAATTTTCTCAAGCATGTTTCAGAATGATCAGGAGTTGCTGATGTGAGATTTCTCAGGTGAAGTGTGTTTGAAGGATGCAAACCTTTTTAATGGAAGGCTGACATTTCTAAGTTTTCTTGTTGAATAAATAGCACAGATACATACCTGCAGACTAGAGCAGGCAGTGGAGCATAATCAATATCAAATACCTATGAAAACATATTCAGATTCAAATTTATATAATATACTTGACATTCTATTCCACCTCTATTCAGAGCAGAAATTAAAATGGATTTTCACCTTTCCATTTAATCATATTGCTATATGAATATTATTTCTTTTTATACTTTATATATCAGCACTTACCTTGAGAAGCCATGAAGCTGCCTGGATCACTTCTTCAAAGTGAGCAGGGTTAAAGGGAAAAAAAAAACACGTGTTACCTGATTGCAACAGGGCACAAGGGGAATGGAAAAAGCACAGAATGCAGAAAGTTCAGATATTGTCTGTCTACTTCAAGTCAGGTTGCAAAAGAGTAGCATGGAAACACAGCACCTTTCTTATATTACTGATTCCTGCATTTTGCTGTATGAGCAACAGGGGGAGATAATGCCTGGAACAGAGAAAAAGAATTCTACATCTGTGTGAATAATGAAAAGAAAGAGGATATATAAACAATCATATTTAACAAACTAGCTATTGTATTAATGGCTGTGGGATTAAATTTCACCTGCATATCGTATCCAGTATTCTGCTTTTACATTATCTGCTATCTACATCGATATTAAGATGCATGAATTAAAGAAAGGTGATGTCACAATGTTTTCTATGGGAACAGAAAAAAACATCCATGTATGATGGAGGTTTTATCCTCTTGTTAGTCAGCTTTTATCAAGGGAGATTGTTCCTTGGCAGAAGAAAATCATATCCAGGAAACAATGCTGTTTGTCTTGCAATGGAAATTGAATTCAGATATGGAGATATTTCTTCAGAATCTAGAGACTAAATTATAAAACTAGTGGTCATCCTAAAAGCATTAGGAAAAAAATAACCTTGAATTGCCAGCTTATATTTCTAACACATAATCAAGTTGCCATGGTGATTGTGTCCACGTCTGACTCACACAGCCATGATTCACAACTATTAAGTGACCACAAAAAGGGCAATAGAAGAAAAAGCTGTCATGCAAATCTCAGCAGATTGAAAATCATTGTTACCTAACATTGATAGTTATCATACATGCTCAAGCTCATTTTATGATCTTTTTAGTTTTTGCTCAAGATAATTACATCTAAATTGTATTTCCATGGCTCATGGCAGAACTACAATTTAAACCTTTTGCCCCCATACGTTCAGAGAAATAGCCCGTGGCTTGAGATTCATTTTATATACTGAAAAATTCAGGACATACAGTAATTTTAATTTATAGAATTTGTTGGTACAAGATTCCACTCAAGATTGATGGATACCTTACTTATGCCATACATTAGTATATGAAGACAGTTCAAAACATTTCCATGCAATATTTGTTGACTATGTATTTTAATGATTAATGACAAATTAGACATTTTTACAGAACACAAGTATATTAGTAGGTACCATTAAAAGAAAGCCCTGATCAATATTTTAACTTTTTAAGAATTGGTTCCATAAATTTTAAAATTTAATTCTATGGTGTAAATAGATGGAAAATGATTTTATAGTTATAATTCTAACCCCAGAAGAATATCCTCTGGCATAATCTGAGCTATACATATAAGGCTGGAGTATATATAGTTTCTGACCTTGCATATAGAAATAGGAGAGGAGACAACAAGGCTTTAACACAGTATGTACAAACAAATCAAAAGGTCCTGTTTTTTTTACATATTTATTATGTAAAAGCCTTTATTTTCTATAAAGATGTCTAATATATTTTTCCCTTGAAAATCTGGTTCCCCTTCCCCTTTCTTTTTATCTGGACTCCTCCCAATCTTTAATCTGAGACTCCCTTCTTTTTTTAGCCTTACTCCAACAATTTGGACAGATTTTAAAAGGAGTAGCAATATTTTATCCCCCAAATAAAAGGAATGGATTAGGCACTCTCTGTGTATGTGACAGCCAGCCCCTGTCCCTTCTGAATAGATGGACTCTACATCTGCCTTATCTGACATGCTACCTGGCTGTTTGTCATTTTGCTTTATTTCTTCCTCTCTTATTGTTCCTCTCCTTCCCTCCCCTTATGATTAATAAAAGAAGAATTCCGAAAAAGAGTCCCAATGAAGACCACTTACCAGAGGCAAAAACAAGAAAGGTCTCACCATCATGTGTATCAGCTGCCAGGAACTAGAATTATGTTCCAGATCAGGCTGTTTTTGACATCAAGAAGCCTAACATTTGAAGCCCCAGAAGGGATTGGAGTGGACTAGCTGAATCCACAATCTAATTCTCAGTTGTAAGGCATATGTTTAAAACAGTTTGACAGATGGTTTAAATTTCTTCCTGATTAAATGATTTGGAAAAGGAAACTAAATTTAATAATAAAAACATGGAATAAAACAAAGAAACATGAATAATTCTCGATTTTGAAAAACTCAAAGATCTGTTAAAGTTGGAATGCTCCAACCTAACATTAGATTCATCTCCTCTGACAAACAATGTTTGGTGAGGGAATTATATAGAAAAGAAGAATGAGGCTAGAGTTAGTATAAGGTTTGGTCTGAGACTTTAAAGTACATATAATAGGAAAAGAGAAAAGTTCAATGCTGTTTTTATTTCAAAAGAGGATGTCTTTTAAAAAAACAAAACCAGGCTAAAAATACATGTTTGGATTAAACCCAAGAACTAGATTCTTCCCATATTTTTAAACATTTAATTAAGTCTTTAAAAGGTCAGCTTGGAAATAAAGGATCAATTTGAAACAATTATCTATATATTTTTAACAATTTGTACACTGCCTTTCCAAAGAAACTTTTCCAGATTAGTGAAGAGCAGAGAATCCATTTGCTTTTGCTGAGTGTAGTGAAACATATGTAAACTATTCACTATAACTCTGATAAAATGGCATATTAAATGAGAGGTTATATATGAATTTGTGCAAGCTGCATCTAAGGGTCCAGTTCAAAAACTGACCTTTTTGTATTACACTTAATATAAGTTAGGGAATATTGGTTCCTCAGTAAGCTTTGTTCCTAAGCCTCTCAGCTATGAAAATCATTCAGCAAAGACAGAATAGGTTCTTATTATGGGATTTGCAGCTGAAACATGTTTTCCTAATGGAGTGATTTACAATTTGAGGTGTCAAAATGATTGTTATCATGGGCAGCTGATGCTCATTTGATTGTTTCAAGCATACTGTAGGTTCTTTTTTTTCCTTTTTCAGGAAAGATAATGTAAAAATAAAGGCCAGAATAGGAATTGTAGGGGGTGGTAGTAACAATATGTTTATTCTCCCCCCCAAAAAAAGTGATTTCTCTTTTTATTCTCACCTTATTCCAATGGTAGGTTTGCTTTTAACAAATAATCGGGAAGAGACAAGAAAATTGCTTTGGCTTGCACCGCTTTGGAGGGTCTCTGTGTGCAGTAAAAGAAGCTGCTAGTCTACAAAACCAAGTGTTACAAATTGAAGTAACAAATCTGTTTGCAACATAAAAAGGCCCTTCTTCAGAAGAAAAGACCAAACATTATGATCAAAAAGGAGAAAAGTTGTGTGATGGGGGAAGAGAATCATAGCAAAAAGAAAGCCAATTATGCTTGCGAAGTCATATCATACATTTTCAATAACACACTTTTCTCCAAAATAATACTTACAAAAATAATGCTACCTCTTTATGTTTTCAGAACATGTTTACAAGGTAGAGGATGGAAGAAGATTATCTCCTCGACAATGGCTTCCCTGGCTGAGCTAGATTTCTAAAAACGTTTGGTATTCCCAAAAAGCACCATTGTGAAGGAGGATATATAAAGCAATAATACACTGTCACTCACTTCAGCCATATTCCTTTCTTCTTCACTAAACATACAAGGAACCTCATGGCAAAACTCAGTGGAAGAAAACGAGACCTATTATCTTGACAGTGTATTCTATAAGATAACTACTGCTTCCAAAGTATTCCAGATTATATTAGCTGCCAGTTTTCTACATTAAGATCCATTCATACGTGGGATCAAATAGTTTCAATAGAGGCTTGCAAAGGAATTCAGCCAATCACAGCCTAAAGAGCAAAAGGAAATGATCGTAGCTCAGTACATATTTTGCACAATGTCCCAGAATTAACACTTGATATCTACAATTAAAAGATTGTATTGATGGACAGTTAGGGAGAACATAATGTGTTTTTCATGTATGTTCGTAGATTCATCCATATATAACATTTTAACTGCTTTAGGCACAGCTCTTTTGGTACTTCCTAGGTCAGTGATGGGCAACCTTTTCGGCGTGGTGTGTCAAAATTCGGCAAAAAATCGAGCATAACTCGCGTGGTGTGTCACTTCAACAAAAAAACATAATTTTGCGCAATTTATAGTTTAAACTACAAAAATGTATAATTGCAATATATAATTATTATAATTATTATAATTAACAAATTATTTAACATACCTGCTTAGTAACTTCTTTGTTCATCAATCTGTCGATTTCGTATGTTGCCCTTGATATTATTGAACTTGTTTGGGGTGCCATGAACTGAGATAAGTGAGGGGGAGGGCGAATTCTTTAACTAACCTGCATATTAGTGACTTTTTTGTTGCTGAATTTCATTGGCTAAATCTTCAATTGAAGGTTGGTATTTTGTACACTTCAGGCCCAAGCAAGCGCTACTAACCTCATCTGTCAATCTGTTTCTTTTGTTGGTTTTGATATTATTTAATGCTGAGAATAAGGTCTCACAAAAGTACGTAGAAGGAAAAATTGTGAGTAAAGCTGTTGCATATTTTTCAGGGTGCTAAAAGTGTCTGGTAGTCTGTTCCAGGCACTCCAAATTTCCTGTTCGTAGTGGCACTCATCTTGATTCTCCAAGCGGCCCCTTTCCAGATTCTCAAGCTTTGACCTCAAGTCGACAAACACCTGAGCCCAGATGCTGTCTTGAAATTCTGCAAGCTGCATCTCCAAATCATCTATTTGCATCCATTGGAAACCATTTAATTCCAAACTATTGTAGACTACTACATCAGGATACTTAATTATTCTCATGGTCTGTTCTAGGCTTCTAAATTGACTAAATCTATCAGTAAACTGGTCAAGTAACGAGTCTAAAACATGTTGGCACTTCATATGCAAGAGTTCCACTTCATTTCATACAGCTGCACTGGCCTTCTCAAAATGCTTTTGTACTCGAGGAAAATACTTATACGTTTTAGTTTCTACATCTCGCTTGAAAATTTTTACTTTACTTTCAAAAGCTTTTATGTATCCAAACATAACATCAATACTTTTGCCAAAACCTTGTAACTTTAAGTTCAGTTCATTAACATGAACAGAGAGATCTGTAAAAAACATCAGGGTGTTGACCCACTTATCATCATTGAGCTGAGGAAAGTTTCCCAGATCCTTATCTTCAAGAAATACCTTAATTTCTTCAAAGCACTCCACAAAGCGCTCAAGAACCTTGCCTCGGCTCAGCCATCTTACATTATTGTACATCAGCAGTCCACTGTAGGTGGAATCAACCTCCAGTAAAAGTGCTGAAAATTCTCGCTTGTGAAGGGGGCGAGCAGCTATTAAATTAACTATTTTTGTAACAACTGACATTAAGTCATTTAAGTCAGTGAATCCTGCCTTGGCACATAAAGCCTCCTGATGGATAATACAATGAAAAGGCACAATCGGATGTCCAATAGCTTCTGTAAACAATTTCACAAATCCAACTTTTTTCCCCACCATGTTTGGGGCACCATCTGTCGTCACTGACACAACTTTAGAGATATCAATGCTTAGGTCACAGAATGTTTGCATAACAACCTTACATATTTCGCTTCCTGATGTACTTGTTGGAACTGATACTAACTTTATCAACTCTTCTCTCATTGTGTGACTATCAGAATATCGACCAATAATGGCCAACTGAGCATGTGACATGACATCAGTAGTTTCATCAAGACAGATGGAAAAATATTTACAATTCCTTATGTCTCTCTTTAATTGATGTTGTACGTTTGTGTTCAGTCTCATTATTCGGTCTTTTATGATATTTCTACTGAGTGGTAACTCAGATATTCTCTTAATAATTGCATCTTTATTCTGCATATCGTGAAATAGAAGTGGCGCACATCTTAGGAGAGTTTCTTTAATAAATTCTCCCTCATTAAGTGCTTTTGCATGCTGAGCTATGGAGTGAGCAATGCTCAAACTTGCAGATGTTAAATTTGTACAGCCTTTTATAAATTTAAGGATGGAGTTAGATTGGCTCTTATAAAGGTGTAGCTTCCTGGAAATGTATTCCTTCCTTTCATCCTCACTTTTTTCCAAGAGCTGGGAATGATTAGTTTCAAAATGTCTATTTATATTCCACGTTCTGCTTACTACCGTTTCAGTACATAGAACGCAAAATGATCTGCCATTTTTTTCTATAATACCATACATCTCGCTCCATGTCTCCTGAAAGGGTCGGCCACTGCTACTACCACTCCCTTTACTTAACCTTTGTTTTTTACTTTTTGGGTGCTCCATCAGTGGGCCAGTGACAGCAGATAGAATTATAGATAGCTTGTTAGCCAATTAGGGGTTAACTAGCCTAACACAGCCTCCCCCTCACTTATCTCAGTTATTGTGGGCAATTACAAGTCCATGGCACCCCAGGAGTAGACTCTCTGTGCCTGGAGTTCAGGCCTACAGACAAAAGGAGATTGAAATTTTTATTATTGAAGGGGCTTATTGACATTCATTTTTTTTTAAAGATTTTATTCACTATATTTACTCCCTATGGGGGACTATTACATGTAATCATTCAATTACATACCCTGATCAATGCTGTGCTATAGCAAAGTATTGATCAGTGTAATGTAATTGGTGGCACAATAAGCTTCTTGTTTCTGTGGCATACATTATTATATTTTATATGCTCAAATTTATGTCAGGGAATGCTGGAAGTTGTAGTTAGTTGCTACAACTCCCAGCATGTTGCACTTGACTATATAGTAGTATAGGTTATGGTGCAACATGCTGGGAGTTGTAGTTTTGGCTCAGCTGCACTGCTGCAGAGCCATAGGCTGTATGAGGGCATGCTGAGCATTGTAGTTACTAACTGCACCTCCCAGCATGCTCTTATACAGCCTCTGCAGCAGACCCCAAACCTAAGTCGCATTATTGCTAATAATTTCCCAACTTTCCTCCCCCTTACTGTGTGGCACTAATTGCGGCCTGACTGGAAAAAGTTACCCACAATAACCTGGTGACCTAGTTT